CACCAACAACCTCTCCCAACAAGTTCCTCACCAACAACCTCTCTCAACAAGCTCCTCACCAACAACCTCTCCTCTCTCAACAAGCTCCTCACCAACAGCCTTTCCCAACAAGCTCCTCACCAACAACCTCTCCCAACAAGCTCCTCACCAACAACCTCTCTCAACAAGCTCCTCACCAACAACCTCTCCCAACAAGCTCCTCACCAACAACCTCTCCCAACAAGCTCCTCACCACACAGCAACTCCCTAGCACTGCACTGTACATACAATATATATATACAGAAAATGTATTGTAAGTTTCCCTTCCTACGTCCATCCTGAGTGTGAGATCTCTTACATGTATGTGAGCCCATACAAAGAGAAATAGACAACATAGAGAAATTTGACAACTGGCCATATACAGTAGGCTACAGTAGTGCCCAACCAGATAAGAACTTAATGTTATAAATGCACCACGAAAGAATCCACTTAATCATTATTTTCAACTAGGAATAGACAATAACAGCCGTCTAAACCCTAAATCACTTACAACAATCATAGAACCATAAAGTTATATTAATTTTATATTTACGTATTTTACACTAAATAAAAAATGATATTGTTCGTGAATTGTAATTAACATTAATCATCTTGACGCAAGCGCATAAATAATTTAAAGTTTCTATAATATATATTAGTGAGGTTTTATACTTATATAGTAAGTTTTGTAATTTTTGTTATTATATATTACGAAGTTATTTAAAGTCACCGCCGCTGCATGACGCTGTAAAATTTTGTACTGAATGACGTCATAGACCAGCTGATTATTTTCCGCTTAAAAAGTTTTCTGCTGATATTTCACAACTTCCCGTCACCGTCCCTTTATATCTGGTAATCAGAGAGGTACAGGAGGTTGTTAAAGATTTAAATATAATTATTGACCTTTGCTGTTGTTGTTATTTAGTGGTGTTTATGAAAGTTAAAGTAAAATTCGTTAGCTACTACGACTGGGAGAGATGGTCTAATGTTAGTCAATTTACCACGACCACAACATTGTATCAATCACATATTCTATCATTATTGCTATATTTTAATATATATAGACACGATGCTAATAAAATATTGATTATATAGATATTTATGATATATATACAGTAGATTATATTAATTTTTTCTTATTGTGAAATATATATGTGATCCAATGATTCGTGGTTATTTTTTTACATTGATAATTTTATAGAGTGGAAGTGTTGACGTTTTGAGTTGTGAGAGAGAGAGTGAGAGAGAGAGGCGCCACCACCACTATAACCTGGCTGTGTCTCTAAACCTACACACGTCAAGTTATCGTGAGTTATAAAAAAAAGAACATGGCATCTATTCCCATTCCTGGCAGTGAGGAGAAGAATGGTTGTGTTGAGGAGATGGCCTCGTCCCCCGCCCTCCACCCTGATGCCTATGCCACCCTAAGCCAGGATGAGACTGATGGTGTGCCCCTTGACACCCATTGGACCTTCTGGATAGATAAGTTAGTCTTGTCTACCTCATTATGTACTGTATTATGGACTAACTTTAAATAATTACTGCCTCGAACTGGGCTTATTCTTGACTAACTTTAAATAATTACTGCCTCGAACTGGGCTTATTCTTACTTAATTGGATTTATTGTTATGTTGTATATTACTGATCATGTATGTTTGTTTATCTTCACTATGTGGCTGTACAGGATTTGTGGAAATGCTGGAGCAGGCGGAGAACACCAGAAGAAGGTGTTTGGTTACGTTCATTTTTTCTACTTGTTCTTATTATTATACTGTAGTAAGTATTTTAAAAGGGGCGACAAATTTTAATTATAAGTATTTAATTTTTTGGGGGGGGGTAGTTTTTCTCTATATAATCATAAATCACCTGTAGTGGGGACGGGATGACAGTTGAGGTATAACACGCTGAAGAACTGATCATGTGACACTAAAATGATGTTTCTATGGGCTTTGTATGTGAAGAAATTAATTATTTACTGTAAATACACCTCCAAAAAATATGCCGTGTTGCGATTGTTGTTGTCTGCTCTTTGTTTTTTACTACCGACCCTCTCGGTCCGAGCGTACTCTCACGTCCACAAAAAAAATTAAAATTGCACCATGACTCTTCAAGAAAGTTGCTTTCATTGCTACTAGATATCAAAGTAAGTTCTTTGTGTATTGCCCATTAAGTTAGCTACTACAGCACAGCACAGCACTATTGTTTACAGATTTGCTGAGAGAACTGTAAAATAAGTCTGTGTTTGACCCATAAAGTGGCTTCTCAAGATGACTACATTTTTAATTTAATTTTAAAATAGGCAAAATTTGAATAGCCGCACTAATACTACCTGTGGGGGTTAGGTTAGGTTAGGTTTAGTTCCTTCATTTTGTTTGCTGTCCAAAAAAATTTTGCTTGTCATCTCCGAGAAACTATTGTTCCTATGGAGAGACAAAATGCTATTTTCGTAAGTTCACTCTCGTATTCATTCTCCAAGACTGAATTTGCATTCTATGCATTGAAACGAACTTATCAACAAAGATCCCAAGGGTTCAGATTTAACACTCATAAACTGTGACTTACTTTTGAGAAATATGAATTAAAATTTCAAGCAGTCAAAAAATGTGAAAGGTTAAAAGGCATTTATTTATAACTGAGGCAGAGGATCAGGCGAGTCATGTACCTGTGTGAACAAGGTGGTGGGTTTAAGCTCTCACTTCCCAGGACCTGCTGCGTGTGTCACTGGGCTAGGTGGTATATGCTGCACTGTATTCCTAAGATCCAGTAAAACAATAAAACTGGATGAGGTAACTGCACTGGGGTACTTTAGATATTGTGGTTAACATGTAAAGTGTAGGATAGTTACAAGGTGGGTGGATATAGCAGAACACTGTACTGCTGTATAGTTAAATTTGACAGTCAAAATTTTTTTCATTTCTATACAGTTTTATTTTAAGTTCTGTACATTGTTCTTCCAAAGTCAACGGCTTTCAGTCCTCATCTTTAACCCCTTCGCTACGGGGGACGCTACTTGTGATATTTTATTGGCTAACTACGGACGATTTTATTTAGCACAGAAAGGCCCTGTACGTGAGAGGTTAATGGGTCACACTAACACACTTTTAGTACAGTCTCCCTCTCCCCTGTTTAGTCCATTGTCCTGAGGAGCTGAGAGTTGAGAGGGTCTTGGTATTACAACAAACTTATCTGTACCATGCTTATTGGCTACTGTATTTAGGATTCTCTATGAGGTGTCACAGTCCAGCTGTTTCTGTACCCGAAGTCATTGGGTTGGGAGCTGTGGAGTTTGTGGTAAACTTGATATGTGTTTCATTACAGTGAATAGGAGGATGATGATGGTAATAATGATGATGATGATGGTAATAATGATGATGATGGTAATAATGACACTGATGATAAGATGATGGTGGTGATATTGTCCTGTTTTGGTAATAAAAAAAAAAAGATTTCCAGGATGGATATTCAGGAAAACTTGAATAATGTTCTAAATTTTTTTTTACTTTTTAATCATTAGAGCCACAAGAGGAGCAACCGCCGCAGAGTACGAAGCCAACATGAAGAAAATATATAGCGTATCGACGGTTCAGAGTTTTTGGTCCGTGTACAATAACATACCCGACGTGTCAGAACTGTCTCTCCGTTACTCGTATCATTTAATGCGCGGAGACCGACGTCCCATGTGGGAAGACGAGGGTAATCAAAATGGTGGAACTTGGAGAATTAAAGTATCAAAAAGAGACACAGTAAGTGGATATATTTTAGTAATGTGTACACTAAAGGTCTGCAGTAACTGAAATACATATACTGTACAGGTATACTGTACTGTGCAGTAGTCAGACCATAAATTACTTTGACCCTTTACTGTGCTACCTCCTCTGTCGTCTCTACAGGGTTGGTAAGCGTGAGTGTGACGTCATTTCCCTTAACCTTATTTTTTGAAACATTTGAATCAGGAATAGTGTCAATGACAGCTCCACATACTCCCTTTTAATGAAAGCAGGGCTACCAATGTGATGCCAGATGTGACAGCATTGTACAGAATGTTTTGACAGCTTGTCATATTGTTCAACAACAAAGGGATAAAAATAACTTATGGTCTGACTGTACATTGTCCCAGGAATATTAAGAGCCTTTCAGATTTGTGACTTTTTGTTGTACAGTACTGTATATAATTATCCTCTTTCAGTCGCGTGTATGGAAGGAGATGTTGTTAGCGTCGATTGGTGAACAGTTTGAGGGCCACCTAGCTCCTGGGGATGAAGTGTGTGGAATCACTGTGTCAGTAAGGGAACGGGACGATTTACTACAGATCTGGAACTACGACAGCACCCTCACTAGCCAGGCCACAGTTATGAAGAAAGTGCATAGTTTGGTCCCTGATGTGGTGTTCAGTGCCGAATTTTACAAACGTGAGTATGGAAGTAAGGGTTAGGGGGTGTGTGTGTGTGTGTATAGCAATGAGAGTGAATGGATGAAGTTGATGAATGAATCTCTGGTGTTACACTTGATTTTGACCAACCTGCACCTAAAGAGAATGTGGGTTTCATAGGCCTCATTTTCCATTTGGGACAGTGGGGATGTACGACACACTGTATAGTTAGTCTTCAGTACACGAGGAGGCAGCGTGGTCGGCATTGCAGTCGACCGCTTTCACTTCTCCAGCTTGTAAATTTAGGTACCCATTAACAGTTGGGTGGACCGGGAGTGCCCCAGCGTTGATCACAGTCCTTTAAGAAAGGAAGTGAGCTCTGTATCCACTCAACATCCTCTCTGCAGAATATAAACACAATTCATAATCAAGAGAAAACACCTCACTTACTCACACTCCATCTTCAGTTACAAATAGCTTTGCTGCTCTCATGTGTATATTGAGTACATGTTTTTGTGTGATTGTTTGTCAGAATTAGATAGCATTAAAAATAGAATAAAGTAGATTATAGATACCTGGCACTATGTAATATCATTCACTGTACTGCACATGTCAGAAAATAATATTAATGAAATATTGTTTATCAATGGCTAAATGTATATATTTGAAATACAGTACAGTACATTATTATAGTTTGTAGTATACAGCTGTGCTAGTACTGTAGCCTCTAACTTTCACGAACTAGTCAAGGAGCATTGATATGAGTAAAGACGAATATCTCTAACAGCCACTTGTGTCAGGGTTTCAGTGTACAGATAACATGGACACTCCTGAATTTACCTGGATACTTACCCCTGACTCTTCCTTTGCAGCACATCAGACGCACCACGCTTACGAAGGAGAGAAATCCCAAATGGGTGGTATGATGCTGGTAAATTCATGAACAAGGCACAACATAGGCTTGTTAGTGCTGTCATAGTAACCTTTTATTATAGTTTTAGCTTCCTATGCCTAAAAACACACAAATGTTGGTGAGTTCTCTTAGCTGTATAAGCCTAAGAACACAAGCGTTGGTGAATTATCTCACCATTTTGTACTACTGGTATATCTTTATGAAGTCATTGAGAAGTGATCAGTAGTATTAGATATTTATCTTTTGTATACATACATAGAAGTTAGTGGAGATTCAAGACTGCAAATGCTGGCCAGATATCAAGTGGGTTAGGTAGCCTTACCTTACTCTAACGCTACCTTACCTTACTTATGTTACCTTACTTAAATTAACTTACTCTAACCTTACCTAACCTTACCTAACCTTACCTAACCCAATGTAACCCGACTGAACCCTACCTTTTTTTGACCCAACCGAACCTATCCTAAGCTAAGCTAACCTAACCCGACCCATTCTAACCTAACTCAATCCAACCCAACCCAATCAAACATATCTGGAGAATACAGTATCTGTTTTGCTAATGAAAAAACAAAATATTAAAGAGAGAGAGTTTTTAATCCCCTCCTTACTACTGTCCATTGCTCTACCAACTGTACTGTATATTTAACATGTGTTATTGGTGTAGTGGTACGTGCATCATCTGCCAGTCCAGCTCAACCATGCAGTATGGGAGTGGTTAAGAGGTACTGTACTGTATGACCCTTACATATAATCATTTCATGTACGTTAGTGATGTCTTGTGACTAACTAGAACCTGCTGGAAGATTTCAGGTATATCATGATACATATTTAAGATTTATTTTATTTTATTATTATTTTTTTGAGTTGTCACCTATTGAGTTAGATATTGTTTTCAAGTCAGTTTTAATTACTTTTGTTTATATACATGTGTAAACTAATGTACAGGGTGTGGCATAAGTTTTTTTTCTTTACCGAGGACACTGCAAAGAATAGGAAGAAAGAAAATGTTATTGCTGGAAAAATTAAATTTATAAAAAAAGTGCTAGAGGTCAAGGTTTTTATTATTATTATAGAAATGTCATTATGCATACAATAGTGTCAACCTCATTTCTCACCACTGCGTGCAGTTTTCTCGGTAAAACACCTTAAGTCACTCCCTCTACAGTAACATTTCATGAATTTCCTAAACATTTTACAAATTTAAACAATACCGGTGTATGCATAGAAGTGATAAACTACATGTAGGTGATGAGAGATAGTTTTATTTATATAACTTACAAAAAGTTTGTCTATACTCCACTGTATTAGTTTTCCAAATGTTTGAAAAGTTTGGGTAACTTGAAAGTTCTTCGGATACAAGAGTTAAGTAATATGAACACATTATTTGATTAATATTAGTGCAGTATACATCAGATTCTATGACAAATGTGTGTATTGTAGAGAGCACCATGGCCAGTGACAGATCCAGCCTCCGGTCCCCTATACAGTACCTAGAACAGGAACATAACCTAACCTTTTGCTAACAGTAATTTCAAGCACAGTTCAGTACAGCAGCTACCCCAGAAACACACACACACACACACACCTTTGTTTAATATTAATTCACGGAGCTCCTATAGAGATGTACTCGAGATTTGATGAGTTTAAGTTTAGTATATACTGTATTATTCTTTAGTCCCATCCTTAAATGAAAACTTAGATCTGTTGTGTATGGCTCATGGTGTATCTCACGATCAGTGGTTGTTAACGTCTCCATGGACAGTCAGAAGGAAACAGCTCACACACACACACACACACACACACACACACACACACACACACACAAACACACACACACATGCCCCTGAAATCAAAGTTCATGCAGGCATTCAAGTTAAAAAATAAATAAAAATCTGTGATAAAAAGAAAGTGCTAGGATGGAAAAGTATATTCTTGTTTAGACTTTATGTATTGTAGATTTTTAGTAGGCAGATTAAATTTGGATAACACAAAAAAAATACTTTTAGATTTATAAAAATATTTCGATAACTATTGATTAAAGCTCGATTTTATTCGGTCACGGGGGTGGATAGGATTAACGAATACTTGATATAACAATGTCATGTTCCTCGTTTAATGTTTTTGATAAATTTTTAACTCTTGAAAAAAAATGTGGGGGGAATTAATCATTGACGTCTTTATTGTGATGTGGGTAACACATGTCTTATAACCAAGGTTTCAGAATGACATATTCACTATTAAATTTTTTTTAGCATAGTTATTGCATAATTTGTATTTTTTATTATACTGTAATTATAGTAGCCTTATCTTTACCTGTTGCAACTGTGGGGATGTCTTAGGGTGGCCAATGTGGTCCTATATTTTGTAAAGTCCTATCATCCCATTATTCATTCAGTATTCTGGGAAAATATATACTGTTTTAGCTTGGCTGAAGCTTCTTTTTTTTTAACTCTCATCTGACCACTTTCACTGTAGAGGTCATGTTACTGAGCTACTGACCATTAAACCTAATACTGTACAGTGCTGTTTGTTTGTGTGTGGTGTGACAAGCATTTCTCGGTGCCCTAAACATTGTACCACACACACGCCTTGCTATTCCCACAAACATTTGCACATTTATGTACTGTACAGTATAGTGATATTTCTTATTACTCATGAGAATGAACATATTTTAAGAGTAAGTCATGCATAGGAAGTCACAAAGTCAGAAGTGAATGAATAATAAAATAAGAGAACTAGCAGGAAAGGTGTCCACAGGTCACTGCTGCAACAGGTAGGGTAAAAAAAAACACCTATTTTAGTCATTATTTTAATATACGTATCATCATTCATATTTGTCAGTTGATAATGTTTTACTTAATAAAACATTGAATTGGATGATTCTTTATAATCCTAATATTGAATTGTTTTAGTGTGCAATCTCTGTTTCTCTCTCTTCTATGTTTGTTTCATACCTTTCTGATTCTTGAAGTTTATCTCTATCATCACCTTTTGCAATTGTCTTACACCGTATGAGAAGAAACCCACAATGGCAGACAAAATGTTTATTCCAAACAGTTTTGGTAACAACTGTCGCCCTCCTCGGTGAAGTTAAAGATAAGAACTGGCACACTCATCTCTACATAAGCTCCTTATATACAATGCACATGTCACCTCACCTCACTCCCAACCCCACCCCACCCATCATTGTGGCTGTCACCTCAGTCCTACATTCCTTAAAATCATTGTACAGAGGCGGTGGGTTGGTAGGAATGGGTGGGTGACGAGGAGAAACCTATCCCCTATGTCAAAACGTTGCTTGATGTATTCTGATCTAACCGAGAAGGCATTACAGTTAACACAGCTTTATCAGGTCAAGAAAGATATTATGAGGTATACCAAAGGTTTATGTTACTGGTTGGTAATTTATCTCTCTCTCTCTATATGTCTGTCTATCTTCCAATTTCTTTGTCTATCTATCTGCCAATTTTTCTATCTATCTATCTATCTATGTATCTGCCATTTTGTCTATCTATCTATCTATATATCTGCTAATTTGTCTATCTATCTATCTATATATCTGCTAATTTGTCCATCTATCTATCTATCTATCTATCTGCCAATTTGTCTATCTATCTATCTGCTAATTTGTCTATATATCTATCTATATATCTGCTATCTATCTATCTATCTATGTATCTGCCATCTATCTATCTATCTATATATCTGCTAATTTGTCTATCTATCTATCTATATATCTGCTAATTTGTCCATCTATCTATCTATCTATCTATCTGCCAATTTGTCTATCTATCTATCTGCTAATTTGTCTATATATCTATCTATATATCTGCTAATTTGTCTATCTATCTATCTCTCTCTCTATCTATCTATCTATCTATCTATCTCTCTATCTATATCTGCCAATTTGAATCTAATCCATCCTAATCTAACCTAACCTAACCTAACCAAACACAACATAATCCAAAGGCTGTATCATACAGAGTACAGTTGGAGGTCGTACTGTAATCCGAGTCATTATCCACCGTCTAGGTTATGTCTGAGTTACCTGGAACTTAATCACCCAAGATGATTTCCCCTGATGATTAACCACTACTCTCACCTAACCTAACCCTAATCTAGCCTAATTTAACCTGATACTAATCTACACTATCAACGATAACCTAATCTATACTAAGCAAACCTGATACAACCTAACCTAACCTAACCTGACCTAACCTAACCTAACCTAACCTAACGCTAATCTAGCCTAATTTAACCTGATACTAATCTAAACTATCAACGCTAACCTAATCTAGACTAAGCAAACCTGATACAACCTAACCTAACCTAACCTGACCTAACCTATCCTATCCTAACCTAACCTAACCTAACCTAACACTAATCTAGCCTAATTTAACCTGATACTAATCTAAATTATCAACGCTAACCTAATCTAGACTAAGCAAACCTGATACAACCTAACCTGACCTAACCTAACCTAACCTAACCTAACCTAACCTGATACAACCTAACCTAACCTAACCTAACCCCTCCCCGTAGCTTCAGGTGTTTTATCATCAGGTGAAACAAGCTCATCACCGAATAATCTTAATTTCGTCCGTTTGATGTGAGAAAACGTTCTATGTTGATCTTTATTATATTTAAGGGAAAAAAACTAACTTAATAATCTTTTGAGAATGTTTAACCCTACCATCAGAGGAACTACTGTATACATGAATGAATCACCTCATTTGTCCTGTGCCAGTTAGCAGAGTAATATTATTTAAAGGCTAAGATAAAAGTACATTAATTATTCATTCGAGTGAAGGAAATCAGGTAATCATCGAGTGGTAGGAAGCCCAAGACTGAGTGACAAAGTTTCAACGGAAATTTATCATACACACTGGCCCACCGAACGTCGATAAACAGCGCCATCGTCCCAGTTTCCCGGCAGTTGGCGTGCGGCGGCCACTAGGACAGCGTCGCGCTCTCCACCTTCCAGCCCCTACAACACCCGCGCCCCACACAACCCTCTCGCATTGAAACACATTAGAAAAAAACTTTTGTAAAATACTTCCAAACCCTTGTATTAACCTCATAAAATGTTTCCTAACGATCTGAAGTTGGTGCGGTAAGTTTTTTGACGTTAAACTTTACGTTATTAAACTTGTTGAGTGAGGCGCGTGGAGTGGAAGCCGCCTCCACTCTGCCAGGGATCAAGGCGGTGTGGACAAGTTTGGGGGTAAACAATGAAGGAGTCTTTGAGGAGATCACAGCAGAGGGTTACGGGCGTCCTCCTGCCTGTCTGGCCTCGTCTGGCGGGGGTCCTCTTGATACTACTTGTTGCCGGTAAGTGGACGCCCATTCCTCTCTCTCTCTCCGCCCACCCACCCATACTCTCCACCCACACTCTCCACCCACCCACTCCTACTCTCACCCACCCGCCTACTCATATTCTCCACCCACCCATCCACCCTTGCTTCACACCATCCACACCCTCTTGCCTCACACAATCCACACCCTTGCCTCACACCATCCACACCCTTGCTTCACACCATCCACACCCTTGCTTCACACCATCCACACCCTCTTGCCTCACACAATCCACACCCTTGCTTCACACCATCCACACCCTTGCCTCACACCATCCACACCCTTGCTTCACACCACCCACACCACCTAACATAGAATTTGGGGAATTGAGGGCGTTAAGTACAGTGTCGGATAGGCACAGGATCTCTTTGTCTTGGCAGTGAAAAAAGGCTTAGTCAATGGTGCCCTGTATCTCTAATGGTTATCAGTTCTACATAATCCACTTTCCTTTTTTTATTTTATTTTTTATATATATGCTGGCCGCGTAGAAGATGCAATAATATTTGTTAATGGTTTCTCGGTTTATGTGTTTATAATTACGATCGAAGCGCTATTTTTTAGGAACCCCCACAAGACTACTTACGTTTATTTTATCCCTTAACCCCTTGCCTAAGTACGACGCCTTTCTCCTGAGTAAGATACCATTACCCTTGAGTACGATGACATAACTTCTTGAGTACGATGATATAACTTCTTGAGTACGATGACATAACTTCTTGAGTACGATGACATAACTTCTTGAGTACGATGACGAACTTCTTGAGTACGATGATATAACTTCTTGAGTTCAACATTTAATCTCCTTAAGTACGATGTTTTACCCCATTGAATATGATAAGCTAATCTCCGTGAGTACAATAACACTGTACTCGTGAGTATTAAAAATAATTACGTTTTCAGTTGAGGCAGATGGTCGTAATACATGCAAAACAGACGGACTGTTTTACGGTGAGTGGGAGGGAGGGGAGAGGAGAGGAGGGGGGGCGAGGATGGTACCAAATTAGTGAGCTTGGTGTCAGGTTCTGCCTCAGGGCGGAGTGCTAGACAGTGCCTGCCCCCCTCCTCCCTGCCCCCCCCACTGCCTACAGAATATCTTAATGAAAAAATGAGAAGTACGATTTTTTTCAACCCGCCAGAATAAGTCCCCTCCCCCCCTCCCCATTTTCCCTCCGTCTTCCTCCCCTTTTCCTCCTCCTCCTCCTCCTTCTTCCCGCCTGGCCGTGTCTGGGTTCAGAATTATGAATCGTTTAGTCTCCGAGTCCTGTTTTTTTTGTTTCCGTGTTAAATACAACATTGTAAATACAGGGAAAATTAATTCTTGCGACTGTAAGTTTTGTATCGTGTGGCGTCAGTATATGAGTGTCGTACATATATTTCAGATGTTTCTAACTCATAATCTTTCCTTATATAATTCAACCCAATCTTATTTAACCTCACTAATCTCACTTAACCAAAAATAACCTAACTTAACCTAACCTAACCTTAGTTTTGGTTAGAGAAGTGTAGGTGATCAAGTGCAGTGTTTAGCTGCAGTTTACAGTGTGCTAGATCCGCACTGCCCCTAACGAATTGTCAAATTTAAGAGGCATATTTTAATTTTACCAATAAAAACTTATGTACTACAATGTTAACTTGCAATTTTTTCCATTTATTTGTGAATGTTGAGAAGGATAGCACTACTCAAGATATTATTTACGAGAAAAATTATAGAATCTGTGATAAATTTGATATCCTAATTACTTGTTGTTCAGCTGACAGTACGTTGGAATCGAGGCTAAGTTATGTTTATTTCGATACATGAACAGAAAACGGAATATTAAGGGGGACACCAAACGAAAGTATAGATCCAACCGTATAATAATAAACTCTACGGGAATCTCACCTCCACACTTCACTAACTCTTTTGTTTTCTTCTCTACTGTAGTTTTATATTACGGGCTTCTTACCTTTGACCTGTTATAATGTAATGACCACAATATTTTCCTCTACAGTATGTATCGACCCAAGAAACACATAGTCTGAAAACGGTTTGGTAATTTTGACAGTCATTCACGATTATACAAAAGAAATTTGAAAACAAAAGAGTTAAAACTATGCAATCGATGTATATTTTTACTAATAGAAAAAATAAATCAGTAGTGAATAATATACGTATTTTCATCATAATATAACTTTACATTTTGAGAGTATTTGAGAAACAGTTACAAGCAGTTTAACATTAGGCAGATTTTGAGAGTAAGTAAAAAAATATATAATCACAATTTAACATTAGATTGATTTTACGAGGACGTAACTAACATAGAAAGTGTAATATTTAAAAATAAACCCAGGAAACCTTCATGTGTTCCATCTGCATCGAATTCAGCGCGTTGGAGGGTCAGTGAGCGAGTTTTTAAAAGGTTTTACTTTATTCATCGGAAACTGGGCAGGTTTACAGCATTACAGGATTGACAGCATCATCCTGTGTATGTGTATGTGTGTGTGTGTGTGTATGTGTGTGTGTGTGTGTGTGTGTGTGTGTG